ACTTATTTCATAAAATACGTTTTCGTCCCGCATAAAATGTTATGTTTCGATAGAATTTAAAATCCAAAAGTTTAATCGGACTGCTGTCAATGGCCGTTTGATATGGGAAAGTGAGAAACAAGCGATTGTTACCACGATTCAAGATATTCTTTACCAATATAATATTTATAATTGGATTTGCGGTTTTCAAAGTCACAAACAGAGTGAAAATTGTCGACAATGCCCGTAAGGCTATACGAATGTTAAAACGTTAATTTTCAAGAATTGAGTAAAAAAAAAAACGTATAAATTGACGAAAAAATGAAGCCTCCGTTTGGATTTATTTGACACTCGAGTATTTGAAAAACATATTAGTATTATGACATCATTTATGTTCGATTTTGTTCGTTTGACGAGTGAAATACACGCAACTGAAATCCCACTCGGATCTAATTGTTGACACTAGAAACAGTAAATATTTGATTAAACGGCATATTTGCGACGAAGAACGCAAAATGTCATTGTTTTGTGACATTATTTCGCGTTAAATAAATCACGGTGTTTTTGTAAGTACACGCCTGGAAACCGAATATGATCGCGTGTTCGTTGTTTTAATTTCCCACTCACGGATCTCAGACACGCGCGTGGAATCGATTCAAATGATATTACCGTCCGCCTACCACTAAAGTTCGAACTTTCGAATGGTTTCTCCTGCGTTGTGGAGTGAATATCTATAGCTTCTCTTTAACTCGACCGCCGCGGGTTTCCTTTTCACCGACGACGAACAAAATAATATTATATAAACAAAACATTATCCGCGCAAACTTCAATGCGCCCGAATATCATTTACCGTCCACGGAGCCACGGATGGGACTTGAAAACCCGTCTGTTTATTGGCCGACCACCGGGTTAATTTTCAATATTTCGGCTCTTGGCTGCAAAGGAACGTAAGAAAGAGGGTGTTTCTCACAGTTTTGTCATATTAGTCCATAAATACTGTATTCCTTTCATATTGAATGGGTATCGGGCAATACTTTAGTAGAAAAGTATTATCGTCAGGGTGGTGATTTTAATGCGAATGGAAAATGTCGAATCGGAGACAATTCGAAAAATCGCCACAAATATACCGATAACGCGCAAAGTTGCCGAATAGACGATCTGACGGAGAGATGCCCATGTATTAATATAATTTGCCCATGTAATAACATAACGATTGAACAAATTTTAAATTCCTCCGACATTAAATTTCGACCGTTGTTGTTTGCCGACTCGTTAATGTAAATTTCCCGAGGTTTTTATTTTTTTCTAGGGACGGACGGGTATCGTCGCAGCCCGCGTACGCAAATTCTACAAATACCGACACGCACAATATTGTACGGGGACTCTATTTAGCGAATCACCGGGGCTCGGGCGACGAGCACATTGAAACCGTCACGTGCCGTCGATTCTCACGCGCATTTATATTGATAATAATAACAATAGTAACAATAATAATATGATTACAGTCGATTTCACCGCGGGAAACCGCTCTTCCGACGCCCGCGCGCCAACCGCGTGTTGTGCAGTAATTATTTATTTCGCGTTGATCCTTTTCGATGTTTTCCCGCGTCCCCTTTGTTTTGCGACGACCCGTACCTAATATAGCCGAATGGCGCGTGCGCGGGAGCGAAATTCCCTTCCGGTGTATTAGTTTTGAAAACGGTCGCGTAATTCCCGCACAGTATAATAATGTAGGCAGCTTTAACGGAAATATTCGCGAAAATTATACGGACAAACTTCACAGCACTTACAACGGGTGGCCTTTGTAAGCGAGAGAAGTCGGGAAGGTCGGATTTAGAGGGGAATTCAATTCGTACGGTTCTAAGCGGAGATGGCGCGATATTTTTGCTTTTTCAACAATGCACAACGGCGAACCAGTTTTTTTATCCCATTTTCCCGAATTTTAATGAGATTTTCAAAATAAAATCTCCTTTTTTTTTTAAACAAAAAAAAAAAGTACCGACTAGAGTGGAATTACAACCGAAAAGGTCTCTCGTCATGTTCTGACCGGAGCAAGATTTCTCGGACACAAGAAATACGGACAATCGGAAGATATCGAACTATAGAAATTGCGTTCGGTTATCGCGCACGGCCGTTCAGAAACACCGCAGTGGTTTTTATCAATCTGTGCGTCGCGGCTCCTAGGGGCGTCGTGGTTTATTGCCAAGGGAGCCGCGACTATAGTAAATAAAGTATATATCACTCAGAGTAATACGGAAAATTTGTTTATTTTAATTTTAATTTTTATCATTATTCATAAGGGAGCCGTTAATTTGGTTTTAAAAACCGGAAGAGCCGTGGACCCGAAAAGGTCGAAACCACTGCAGGTGCAGGTGTACACGACAGCCCGGGAGCGGAAAGATTTACGGGCCAATAAATGGTGTATTGACATCCTCGATTCGTCGCCGTTGATCGATGGGCGGAATCAATTAGAAATACGTTTAAAACTACGTTACGCTATAATAATATTGTTGACGTTAACGCTGCCGCCTCCGCCGTCCACGCAGACTACGAAAAGTGTTGTCGAAAGTTTCGATACAACCGTAATGAAAATGTCGAGAGACCTGCGGTCGTTTCGGAATATTAACCGTTCGAAAACAGAATATTATTAAATATTATATTCTCGTAACGGGTTACTGCGGCAGACTCTTTGTACTATCGTTGTTGCGACTTTATAATGAAATCGTCACCGGACCGACCGCCAACCGGCGTTGCGGTTCCGATTCGGACTAGTTTGCGGACGCGAAAGCGATTAAAAAACTTGTGTCGGGCACGAGACGTTTATACAGAGTGATTATTATTTTTTTTTTCTTTTTGGTACGCTTACTCAGTTTTTACGGTTAAATTACGCATGAATTATAATTATATATAGATATGTTTTTTTTTAACGTGTTTTAGTAACAGACGATATTTTCGGACGCTTAGCTTTTTCAAAACTTTTTCAAAGTATCACGTGGCAATACCGACTTTGGTATTTCAAACGAAAACCGACTTTGGTTTTAAATGCGAATCGTCAACTGAATGATTTTTCTAAGAACTTTGACGTATTGTAATCGAAATTCGACCGAAATGTTGCCGGGTTAATTCTACTTTAAGTACTGCTGACAATAGCATACAATTGGTTTTTCGATAACCGCACGATTCAAAACCAGGTGGTCGGTATCCAATCTCCATAAAGGACCTCCATTGTCCTTAGCGTTTAAAGCGTTATAACTGGTTCAAATTCCAGTTATAATATTATGCCGACATTTTCAGAAAAATCATTCTGTTGACGATTTGTGTTAAACCATGCGGTACGTTTTTATTTAAAGAACCAAAGTCGATATCGCCACGGGACACCCCTTACATTTTGTGAAAAATATGAAAATACGCGAAAATATCGCCTTTTCACAGAATCTCGTTTGTCATCGTTGTTCGCGCAAAAATAATGGCTAGGTTAGGTTAGTTTAACCTCTTGAAATACGGCGGCGGTTTCCCATCCTCGTACGGAATTACCAGTACAGTATCCGTCGCTCGCTGTACCGATATCTCAGCCATAATACGCGCATTATTGAGAGTGTACTATAATTACCGAACTGTTCCAAATATTAAAAAACACAATAGAAAACACGCGCTAGAAAAGAACTACGAATTAGGATTTTCTATTTATTTTCTTTGTAAATAAAATCCGTTGGAATTCATGGTCGACCTATAAATTTGTTATTATTTTTCGAAACTAATATTAACAATTATTTTCTAGTCGTCCGTGGTATTAAATCGGTTGGATTATGTCAGCGAAATTTCATTTTTCGCACCGTCGATTTATATTATTACGATCTAGGTTTATGCGGGACAATCTCCAAGATATTCAATGACAAAATCGTCCACTTCGGTCCACCTTTTGATTCTCCCACGTCTTTTTTTTACTACGCTTCCCACCTAACCTCCACGGAAGTTTCACGTAGGTCCTTCCTATTGGGTTTTATTCTTGCACTGCTCGCAGTAGTGATGAGTTTTCACATCTCCATACGCATGTATAACCCAGCAGTGGCCACGCTTAACTTTTATTTTTTTTATACCATTGAGTAAAACTTATAATGAACCACGTGAATAATGTTCAAGTATTTCTGTTTTTTCAAATAATAAAGTAAAAACAAAATTATTAGAATTGTTTATACTCGTAAATAAATATATAAATAAACAATTTTTCACATAGGAATAAAAAATAAACAAATGAATGAATGCGTCGTCTGGAGTATTATGATAAGTGTATTATACGACCGGTTTTGAACTAATAATTCATCATCAGTTATATCAAAGTCAAAATGTAAAACGTGACTCGTAGTCTGATGATGAATTTTCAATTCGAAACCGGTCGTATAACATACACTTATCATAATATTCCAAGTGACGTATTCATTCATTTTTTTAATTTTTTAATTTATATATTTATTTACTATATTTGTATTTAGTCAAATAATTTCATCCGCATGTTATAATACCAAATAAAATTTTAAAAAAAAATACCTTTATAAACAACTCGAAAATCGCTGGAATGTTTTGAAATTTTCACCACGTCTATGAAAGGTTATTATAGGTAAATTTTGTGAAAAATGCAAGTCTCCACTTAATTTTTTGATAAATTTTCGAAACGATTTAAATCAAATTTAAAATGACAATAATATGCAAAGGCATATCAAATCAACATTAGCTCTTTAGGGTTGGTTAACGATTTGGTCCCACACAATAAGTCTAACCAATTTTATTTTCTAGGTACAATATTAATTGTCAGCTAGACTATTTATAATCTGTAATATCTACTGTTAATTCGATTTATTTACACGTTACTCATAATTAAAATTTAACATGAATATAGGTGTATACGTAATTATTACAGTTTAATTTACGAACTGGAATTTGATTACGGATTTTAACACTTTGGGATGAGTTTAACATGACGTGTATATTCCAGAATCTAGAATTTTCAGTATAATTACATACGGTTACTCATTTCGGTTTATTACATGTCTCCATAGTATCTATTTTACACGACATTTCCAACGGACGTTAAACTTTGCAATGTTGTTATCAGAACAATAGGTTGATTAAAAACACTCTGTGTTATATTAATAATGAATAAATGTCTATGTTGAAACTTCGAATAGATACAATATTGTTTAATTAATAATAATAATATAACATAATGTACGGTATAGATCGGTAGATTACAAAATATTATTAAAAATTGTCCGTGTTAAAATGATATCGATTAAATTGTCTTTGTAATATTATGACATCGTAAAATATAGGATATAGGTATAGTATAATAATATGCTCGTAGTAATAATAGCGATCCGTGTTGATTGTGCAGTTCATAAATAAACCGTCCAAACTCATACAAAACCTGAAAAAAAAAAAACGGCTTATAGGTATACAGAAATAATAATATTGAGGGGGCTGAAACATTATTAACGAGAAATATTCGATCCCTCTTGTTTTTCAACGAATTCGTAAACGTTATTTGGGAAAATTCATTCGGAATCTAGAGAAATCGTTCGAATAAGCAATTATCGCCGGGCGAAAAATGCGCATCGTTTGAGAAACGCCTGCAATGCATGCAATATTACTTAAATCGCCGGGGGTGGTTGGAATACGTAGGTGTGGGAACGTTTCGCGATATTTTTAATGATTTTTTCCGAGTGAAGAAATAACGCGCAATATTTACGTGGCGAAACCTTTGGAATGGGAGGAGGAGGATTGGTGTAGACACGCACGGGAAATATTATGTGTCGTTCACAGGGCTTATCGTTGGAAACCGGCGTTTAAAATCGGACGTATTATTATTAGTTTCGGTCGAACATACCGAACGTTTTCGCGGGGTCGTCTTCAGTTTCTTTTGCCTCCGGTCGTCGTCTGCTTGGACGGTTGCTTGGTCCCGGCCGGGGTTTTCTGCAGGGGCGCCACAGTGCGGTTCGTAAACCGTATGCGGACATCCTGTACCGTCATGTTCGGCGTCAAAAAGTTGGCAAGAGTGGCCACGCCGTCCCGCGGTATCCGGTCGAACGGATAGCCCATGGCCCTGGCGTCCGGGTAACGGGCGTTCCGGACCCCGCAATAGCTCGACGCGTTGTCGCACGTCTGTCCGTCCGATTGGGAGTTCTCCACCTGTGCGTGACAATCGGTACGGGCATTAGAAACGGGCAATAATTATTACCGATCAAACCTGTACGCGCAGTGCAATGAAACGCGATCGATTGAGGTGTTGATTACGATTGCACAAAGTTCGACGCCGAAATTCTAGGTTGGCGAAAAAAAAATTAACCATTCCGGCTGGACCAAGAGCGCGTTTTCGGAAGAAAAAAAAAACAAAAAGCGTTATGTCCAGAATTTATACGCGCAGTAGGACGAATTTTAATGGGATTCGGTGTAAAATTTATATAAGCGGAAAATGTGCGCTTGTGGTCCGGACGGCGGGGCGCCGAAAAGCCAAATCCCCCCCGTTATCGGTCCTGAGTTGTTTACCGCCGCGATACGGTGAGTCCGTTGTTTTTAGTAATTCGGTTTTACAGCGCGCCGCGGGAAAAAGCGTTTATCGCCAATCGACCACTAAACGTCTGTACCGCCAAACACGCGCGCTTTATATTAAGCGTTTTTCTCGTATATTCGCACCCGATCGTTTGCGCCGTTCGATACCATGACGAACAACTGACACTGGAACCCTTCGGCGGACCCTTTGGGTATCAACATGTTTTGCGGCCATCCGCAACCGCAAAAGTTGAACACTTCCGCACCCGCCGTATTGTCGGCCGGCCGGTTTCTGTCCAAGTTCCGGTAAGTCACCTCGTGCGGTATGGTCACCGTCGATTGTAAAGACTGGCGTATTATTTCGTTTTTCCCCCTGTTGACTGTGCGGAAAAAAAAACAAATGTTAATAAACACCCGTTGGACGGTGGACATATTACAATGGTCCCGTCCCGGATAAATATACTCACGCGAATAACTGAATTTGTCGAGTTCTACGAAAAGCTTCCTTTGATCGCGGAACAACATTCCCAAACCGCGTTCGTCAAACTTCGGCCCGATGAACAGGCGAATCGTTCCGATTCGCTGGTTTCCGTTGTTCTCGACCTTGATTCAACAAATATACGTAACGTAAATATTGTAAATACACCCAATTGTAAATCCGACGGTTTGGATTTCCAACGTCCGAGTTATGGTTTTTCGACATCGAGGATTTCTTTTTTTTTTTGGGGGGGGGTGGAATAGCGAACCATACGACACGGACTTATAATAATAGTAGGCATACTAACGACAATTTTATAACTAAACGGAGCGTGTTGCAAGTGAGTGAATCGAGCGAACACGGAGCCGCGCGGCAAAAAGTCTAAGCCTCTGGACAGGTCGACGTCGCTCTGTTGCCAAAATGTCGCCAACTCGTTGCGCGGTACCCCGGCGGCCGTGATTTCCACGCTCTGCACCTTGACGTTGTCGAAGTTCAACTGTGCAAAAACCGAAAAATCATATTCGTCGTTCGTTAATGACACGGTGAACGTATTCGTCCACGGGGATTTACATTTTGGACAGTGTAGCCGGGCAACGTCGATTTGAACTCGGTGAATATATCGTCGATGTACGCGTGCCAACGGTAGAATATCGGGTCGCGCATGGCGGTGGCCGAATCGCCCATAACGCCGTAGTTTTCCTGCAAACAAGAACCGAACGGACATTCAACATCACAGATACACTATATGCACGGACGGTCGTGATAATATACTCACCAGGTATCTGTTGTCGGGGTCGTGTATGTAGGAAATCGCGTTGTGTCCGTTATTGTGAAGCGAACCGTACAAAAACGGGTTCACGCTCAGTATACTGGCTTCGATGATGTTACCCAGTATGTCGATTCCTTCGTTTTCGGTCAATCGTACTTGGTTACCGGCCGGCTGCGAAAATAACGAGCGAAAAAGAACGACCGTGTAATCAATTACAAATATCACAATATTTTGAAACGTTGTGTGTGTAAAGTTCGGATTCGATAAATCATTAGTTTTCTTTTTGCCTTTAGCCCCGCCCCCTCCCCTACCCGCGATTTGCGTCCGTGAAACACCTTTAAAAACAAATTCCGAACCCAAACCGAGATAGAAAAACAATATGTAGGACGGTTAACAATGTTAAATTATTATTCTGTTATTATTATTTATTACGTCGAGAACAAATCCAGCGTGAATGGCGTTGAATATCCGGTCTCTCCAACGTTCCAAATCTTCGATATCGAAAGATATTTGATCGACTTCTCTGTTGATGTTCTGTTGGACAAAAGAAAACCACGAACAGAATTGGTGAAATTCGTTTACGGTGTGGAAAAGGAAATATAGTATGTTCGTGTATTACGCTAAATCTCGAATTGACGGGTCTGGACGGCCACACGCGATTGGCCAAGATGTTGTCCAATTTCGGGAAGTAACCTTCCTCGATCGGATCGCGCCAGTTGGTCAATCGGACCACTCTGTTCATGTCGTTGCTCAACCGTTCCATGTTGTATCTACACGCGAGAGGATAGAACAAAAACAAAAAAAATGCAATTTTAAATTATTAGCGCGACCGAAAAAGCGGTTTAACGGCTGTTATTAATTATTGTTCACCTGGCGATAACCTGTTGATGCATGTAATAGAACAGTTCGCCGCGCCGATCCTTGTCGACAATGTTGCGCGGACCCTCGAACGGGTACACCAAATGCCAGTGCCAATGGTGGAGATTGATGCCGATGTCTTCGCGGAAATAACTGATTTTGTGCTCGGGGTCCAAATTGTTGGCTGTGTAATCGTGCGGTATTTCGATGGGAGTCTATAATAACGTATAATATTGCGATGTACACGATATGATCGGAAAACAAAAAGGAAAAACAAAAACGCGTAGTAAACACCCGAGAGGAAAAAACAAAGGATCGATATTTATAGTACATTAAACTTCTGGGAAACGGAATATTGAAATTCGGTTTAGCCGAGAATAATACAGTAGCGGCGGATCGGGAAAGATGGAAGCGTTTTATTACCAGGACGATGACCTTAACGGCCTTATTAAAAAGAACGATAGTATTCTAAAAAACAATATTATACAGTATCAAAAATCGATGTGATATAAATACGGATTATCCGAAAATTGTCCAGTCGGTACTTTAAAGAAGTCGTTTTTTTTTTTTTTTGATTTTTCAAGCGGGTTTTCGTAATTATTTGGAAAAAACGTAGGAACAAACGGACACATATTTACGGCGTAACGAGGTGTCGTGATTTTACATCATCGCACAACTAACGTTAAATAGTTGTAAAGCAGTAAAACAATTACGATTATTGGATATTTTTTTATGTTTTTATACGCATTTTCGTCTGGTAAGTAACTGTGATTAAAATTATTATATGGCTAAAGGGAGATTTTTCGGATTTCAAAAATCCGGATTTCGGATTTTCGGACTTCGGCAAATCCGTATTTTTTCCACCACTAATCAAAATATAATATAACGCAATCGCTGTTGTTACCCTGCTGCCGGACTGCACCACGGCCGACTCTTCTCTGGCACGGCCGAATACCGACGAATCCATGTACAGGCTCGGGAACATTTCCGCGTGAGAGGGCAGCTCCACGTTACGGGTGTCCGGCCTGTGTATGACGACTACGGAAAGCGCGTAAATAAACATGTACGGGTTTATCCGGTCACGCATGTAAACGGCCAGCGACAGGAGTTCGTCGAAGCTTTTCGTGGCTGCAATACGTACAAAATAGGCGACGTAAATGAACAAAACCACGAGTATTTGACACGAGCATTTAATTTTGGCCTACAATTAATCGCTTTTGTCGTTTTAGAAAAAAAAAAACCGTATTGTTTCAAATATACGTAATATTACCGTTAAGACCGATATTGTCGCTCTTAAGATTTTAGTTAGACTTCAGTACAGCACTTACCCATAAGAATTTCGATGAGCTTTCCGGCCATCTTGCCGTGGTACGGATTGAAAAGCGAAAACGGCGAGTTTCTGCTAAGCGACAGCGGGAACGATAGGTCGGGGATGTTTTTCAACTTGGTAATGGGGACGGTTTTTCCTCCGGAAAATCTGTTTTGGATTTCTGAAGCGATCGGCTTGTAACGGTCGATCTAAATAGGTTTATACGAACAATATTATTATAAAATGATAAGATAACAAAATACGCCCGACTTAATGAAAAATATCATTTTTATCGGCACACAAATAAATAATATTATTATGAGACATTTTTCAAACCAAAATTCGATAACTCTATAGTATTTACTAACCCAGTACTCTGGAGGTATGTCGAATGACACATTGTCGTCGCCTTTTCCGATGAAAATGGGCTCAGTGGGACGATCGAACAAGTACAAAATATTGCTTTTGTCGGACATGGTGATTGATTGATTGTCTATAAGTAAACATATAAATCGAATAATTTGCGATTAGTTTTTTACAGAGTAGATAACAAGCGTTCTAATGACCTACAAATTATCAAGTACGTTACGATTCGAGACAGTTACCCAAATTCTAAAATGTTCAATAGTAGATGCACATGAGCATAAATTAATTAGGAGATAATATATTGTAATAGTACGACTATAAATTACAATTAAAAATTCATAAATGTGTACGTTTCCATACGTGTTCGTTTATTAAAAATCGTGCATTATGTTCTCTGTATGTTCCAAACATTTTAAACCGAAATTTAAGGGCTCGACAAATACAAGTCCGTCAAATCGCTATTATTACAAAATAAATTAACTAGCTAGTTATTGTTGTTAAACATTTTAAATCGAGCAGTTTGCTAGTCGGTTTCGGTTTTAAACTCACGTTAATAGAAACAAAACAGATATTTATTAAATAGAACAATTCGGACAGAGTGCGCCGTTTTAACGAAACATATTATAATACGTATTATCCAGTTCTAGGTTTAAATGTTTAAAATAGTCGTCTAATATGACATAATAAACGTCAAACGCTCGTTTCGACGTGAAGTATTAGTTACAATATTGTTGAAGTATACTCGTAAGTAATAATATCATATTTACCGGTTTCGGCGTCGGACTTCGGATACGGCAACAAAATAGTATTACTGCTTCGGTATACAGTTCACCGGGCGCGGTAAATTGTACAGCGGCGCGGGTATATTGCGATGAAAATACGAATATGTCAACCGCGTTACTCGACTGACGATGTCTCCGGCCCGTGGCTCTTTTATATGGAAATTTCGCGGACACACCGCGGACGTGATGATATTCCACACGCGCATTGTGGCGGCATAGACGTTTATTTCCAGTGGGAAAAAAAGGCCCGACCGCAATAACAACCGATTAGATTGGCCGAGCTTTTCGCGGCGGCCGCAATATTATCGAAAATATTGGTTGGCCCGTGGGAATTTTCGTACGTCCGCAAAAACAGGATGCGGGAATACGCGGGCCCGCAACAAGATAACAGGACGCCGTCAAACCGCCGAGCGTTTATTCCGACGAACTATCCGCGTATGTTTCCGCACGATAATAATTATCGATCCGCGATAATATTGTTGAATTTAATTTGATTTATCGAAATACACACGTCCGTCAATGCGGACGAAGTCTTGAAAATTATGTATTTGGGCGAAATGCATTTCTAAAGGCTCCAACGGCGCTAAACGCTGTACGTTTCACGTCCGAAATCATGGTTGGCGTAGGTTTTTATTTCCGTCATAAAGTATTCATTCGGTTCGGTAACCGAAATTTGGCCCGAAACGACATCTAAAAACACCTACAGCAACAGATATGTTTTTCGTAAACGTCAGTTTTTACCGTAAAACACGATCGATTTCCGTCCGTTCTTACGGATCGTCAACGTAAAATCACCAATTATACATACAGATATCGTATATTGCCTCGATAACTGTAAAACACCTAAACACCGCGCGGTACGATAAAAGTAAAATAAATGTTTGAAAACGTGCTTCATTATACCCACGTGTTTATATTGTGTCTGTTGTACAAACGTACGGGTACCGTAGACGGGGACCGGCCCGTTCGCGGCCCGCCATCAATAAAGTACTTTTTACAATTCGTCGGGAACCGGACAGTCGGAGACGACCCGAAAACGGGCGAAAACCGACACGGGACGGCGTACGCGCCTGCTTAAAATAATAATAATAATACGCGTAGTACACATTATAAACTATTATAATATCGTATTTATTATATTAGATAATATTGTCGCGTGCGCACGTACAGCGGAGATTCGGTTTCTCGAAAGACGCTTTTGAAATGTTATTATATTTCGGGACGCGCGAAATCGCGTATTGTAACAAGTTTACCGGGGCGGGCCGAGAGTTGGGAACCGGAGGGATATGGGGGGTCTCTTTTGTATTCGGTCGGCGGCGGCGAAAACTCTCCGTAACAAAATAATACGCTTACCGCCGCCGCCGCCACCGCGCAAAAGCCGGAGCGGAAAGTTTAAACCATACCGTCCGACCCCGACACCGGGTTTTTGTTTTCGCATATATATATATATATATATTACTATATGCGAAATACCGTACGCGGGGGGTTTATTTTTTTTTTTACTTTTTGATTTTTTTTACCGCCCGACCGCAGAGTTTATACGTTCCGTGCCGGAGAACCCGCTCCCGCCGCCGCCGTCGAAACACCTCTAGACGTCCGGTCTCCGGTTTTCCGGTTTCGCCCCGTATACGCGACAACGTTACGCGACGTAATCGCACGGAAATTTCCGTATGAAATCGAACGGGTTCCTCTATCGGTTTCGTATACGATGGAATAATAATAATAATAAAAAAAAAAAAAAAAATCACAAAATAAAAAAGTGTTAAACTGACGCAGATCGAAATCGTCAGGATAACATTGTTGTTCTGGCGGCCGGCTAACTAAACGTACCATTAATGTCCTCGAACCACTCGCTGTTTCATAACGAACTATCGCTCGTCCGAATACTAACAATCTTTAAGGTTTCGATAACCGTAATTCTCGATTACGATCAACAATAATCCGACACTTGAACGTTTGAATTTTGAAGGCCTTCGGTTGCCGACTGCGCCGCGATTCGAGATTTGTTTTTGATGACGAATCACTATTGCGCAGCCGTTTACTCTGATCCGACAACGACGTCAAACTATATTAATCCAAACACTCAAAGATCGACGTCTGTCAATCTGACGTAACGGGCGGGGCGATCAAAGTATTTTGAAATCAAAATCCGCCCGTCGTACATTTACCCTCCTTACGCGGAAACCGTTCCGCTACCACGACACCGAGCCACGCGCTACTGCCGTCCGACCGAATACTTCGATGAGGCTTAGGTAAAACTTGGACGACCCATCATGATAATACGCACGCGAAACACGTCCAAACTTAATATAAGCACGTTATATGCGTTATAGCACGTTCTGTTCATAATACAATCTCTGCCCATAACATCCCCTCGGACCGAAAACGGTCCTGCGGGTTCCGGCTCAAGGGGCTCAGGGTAGGATTCGGCCATATCGAGTCGTCCAGTATCAATCGGACACCGACCTTTTTGATACGATAGCACACGGCCAATTACAGTTTTTCGCGTTTACAACCTGTGACCAATGTTGAAACCGGAAATTTTATTTTTCGCGGGGATGCTCACTTTTTTTTCGTTGTTCGTTTCGGGTGTAACGGGTAACGGGTGTCGACGGTCGTATTTGTCAGATGACGAATAAAATTCCGGGGAGGGTGGGGAGTACCTCGGTCCCCCCCCCCCGGAGTTTATGCAGATTCAACATTTCCGTTTTTTTCAATTCGAAATGTCGCATCGATACGCCGCACGTTCACTGTAAAAAAAAAAAAAAAAAACGTTTTCGTTCCTCTAAATTGCGTCTGGATTAGACTGGCGGCACAAACCGCATAGCGTCCGCCGGCACTCGGTGTCCACGTTAACGAACCGTGCCTCCGTTGACGGATTTTCCGTCTCTAATAGTGCGCTTATTGTAAAAAAAAAAAAAAAAAAAAAATGATAAAAAATACGCCGCGCTTACAGATTGTACGACTAAAAAAAAAAAAAAAACCCGATAAAAAAAAATGTTCAAACGTAACAAAACAAATCCGCAATAAACCGCGGAGCATAATCGTAATAAATTGTATTGTTATTATTTTCGCGGGGCATTTTTCAAAAAAAAATATATTTCGTCTCCCCGCTGGCTGCGACGGCCGGCGCACAAAATTATTGCGTCGACGTCACGTCCTCGGTCGCGGCGTTCGGTCGACCGACCGCCGTGAATTGTTATCGTTACGTATTCGCCCGGTACGAAATATTATTATGGGAAATTCTTGTTTTATTTTTTATTTTACTTTTTTACGGGATAAAATAAATACAATACCGCGCTACGGGCACTAGGCCGCGAATAATATAATTTTTTTTTTTTTTTTTTTTATTATTATTGTTATTATTACGCGTCGGCGACGGAGGGCCGAGGGACGACGGCGGCGGGTTTTCGGATCGAACGGTGGCCGCCGCATATACCGCGCGCGCGGTATAAACACGGGCGGCGCGTTGACATTTCGACCGGCGGCGGCGGAGGATTCGCCGATTTTTCGTGCTCGACAAAATGTCAAGCACGCCCTCGACAACAACGCAAATATAATAGGCGCGGTTATGTCGCGTGCAAGGTTTTTCGGTTTTTCTTACGGTACGAAAATCGTGCGATATTAACGCACGGGCGGCGACGCGGGTCGTCGAATAACCGTCGCAATAGTACAAATAACAATCGGCGCTCCCGGCGTACGCGCGTTTGAAGTATTTTCAAGTCCGTCCGCCCGTGTGTTTGTGGTCCGGTGGTTTACAACGTTTCGTTTAAAATTCTAATCGACGGAGAAATTGTCACTGGCCAACGTCGCAGCGTAACATATCATTTTATTATATTTGCATTGTAAAATGTTTGATATTATAGAGAACACGTACGCGGGGATACGCGTGTGTTATTTCAATAACACGCACCCCAACACCGTTTCCATAAAACACGTACGTCCGTGTTCTTAAATGCACGTGAAATAGAAATCCCCGAAATTAACAATAGCCGTCGGATCGTTCGCGGTCGCGGAAATAATATCATTACAATTCTGATCATCAAGTCATACAATAACAGGTATTTCGTCTTCGGGGGTGTTAATATTTCTACGGGATTTGTGCTCCCGCAATACGCTTTGCGCGATTCTCGCAATAAACGACTGCACATTTCGTTCAGAATTTCGTGATCAAGTTTACCGTAACTATTTTCCCGTTATTCTTGACACACACGCGCACGCGGATCGCCAGCGAGAAATCTGTGTTTCGTTTCGCCCGCCGATGATGAGAAATGCACGGACGAAACGTATAAATGGGAATTTTTCGAGGGCGCCGACTTTTAACTCGGCGCGGTGGGAGGGGGGGGGTGCGAGGGTGCCAGAAAGTAAAGACCGCGTAGCGCCCCTGCGGTTTCGCCTGCGTACCACAGTGCCCGTTTGCAACGCGCGCGCCGAATATCGTCGCGGTGCGCGCGCCGTGTCACGGGAAACAGACACGCGTCTCCGCGGTCCGTCGGCCCGGACGCGAAAGTTTTTCCGGCGGGCGCCGCGGCACGTTTCGCGTATAATAACGTCGTTACCGCCGCGGATGTACGCGCGTAGAGAGACGGCGGAGACGCGTTAAACCGTGGACCGCGCAACAATAACGATAATAATTGCACGCGATTTGCATTACAATGGCGACGGATTTCGCGCGCCGCGCCGTCGCCGTGACATTGCGACACGTTGTAACGCACGGCAACAACGGTAATGGCATTGCCGCGCGTTCGCGGACCCCCGGTTATCGCGTACAACGAAACGCCGCGCGGACAAAAAAAAAAAATTATACTACACGGCCACACCGTTACACGCGCGTTACAATACCGCGTGAAAAACGCGTCGCGCCTCGTTCCGTTATTCCCGTTCCGTCCGGCGTCTCGTTGGGTTTTCGAGACGGCGCGCCGAGGTCGTTCGAAAATGCTCGGGCGAACCGGGCAATGCTGCCGGCAGCACACGCCGGTTTTTCCTCCGACTGTGTAATCACTACACGACTCGTGGTACTATTTTTTATTTTTGATTATATCTTCTACAGACGCTACTCGCACTATACGTATGCGTCGCACCACTAGCTTAAACTGGAGCCTAAACTTCGCGCAGAAAAAAAAAGTTTATTAACAAGTCGATTCTCCATGACCGTGCGCTCGTACGTACACTATTGTTTTAGATTCCGAGTGGAGTTTTTAGTTATGTAAAGATGTCTACGTGTAGCCCCTTTTCTGAAAGGCGACCGGCGTGGGGAGGTCGTTTTTCGATTTTTTCAAGAGTCTTCTCATCATATGTGAAAAACCGGGATAAGCACGGGGAAAACCGGGAAAAACGTAGGAAAACTAGGAAAATCGGTAAAACACTTAACAAATATTGTTTAAGATAACATATAACGTCTGTTTAATTATTTAACTATAAAATCGCATACGCATTGTTGTCAAAGCATCATTATCAACTGAACCCCGCTCAGAATCGTTTTTTCGTAAGCAATAGTTGATTGTTGCTTACAGGTATATATTAAATTATCGATAACGGTGGCTACACTTGACCCCATCATCCTAGGGCGTCTTCTTCTGTTGTTTTATTGATTAAGTCCATTTTTCTAATTTAATCTTACAATGTTACAATAAAGTTATTTGATTTTCGTTTATATATATATATATTTTTTTTTACGGTTAATTCACTTAAACGTCCAACTCCAAAAAAAAAATAAAAAAATAAAAAAGAATACTTACAAATTCGATATAACTCGATTTCCGTATAAAAGTTCGATTTTTACCCAATTCGTATGTATATAACTGAGTATATACCCTGTTAAAACTTTGTTGTTGCCACTGCGCTACTAAGATTTGTATATTTTCCTCGTGCGAGGTCACTCCCCGGTCGGGGCATCAGCCGACAACTTTTTAAGTATACTTATTACTATTATTGAGTCTGTGTACATCTTCAAATATTCAGCACGTAACAAAACTTATTTTTCTCGCCCGCAGTTTGACCCGCGGTACGTAACGATATTTGCGTTAACCCGACTTTTCGGCGTCGACCAATCGCGGGTGATGTTTTTCAAAGATAGATTTTTTAGAAAGATAAAATAAAAATGTTCGGCTAGAGCAAGTTTAAAACACGACGTATAAACTGTCATAATGTTTTAAGTGTAAATCAAGTATTTCGTATGTAGGGCACTCGATCCTTTTAGCCTTTAATCCGACCGGCGAAAAACGCGGAAAGATGGTTGTTTTTTTTGTTGTTGTTCTTTTGTTGTTGTCGTTTTTTATTTATTATTATTAGTAGTATTGGTCGGCGATGACTACACGACTATACGACTAAACGACGATGGCCCCAGGAAAATTGAAAATAAATAAAATTAACGGGTGGGCCGCCCCTACTCTTGTCTCTTCGCGTCCGACTACTCGATTGCGAAAAACCGCGTACGTAGGCAATATAATAATAATATATACAGACCTAACCTAACAGAGCACACTATTTTCTCGTCAACATTGCTGTGATCTATTAAGTCTTCGCGTTACAATTCATTCGAAATATACCGAGAAAGATGGGAGGGATCGGTGTAAAAAACGAAGACAAATATCCGATTCGCCACATCGTTGTATACATAATATACGCGCAAAATAAACGATTTTTGTCATCGTTATTTTTTAATCAAGCGTCCGACGAGTTATATTATACTTAGTTATAAACTTAGCCTGGTTATATTTTTATTACTGTGTCATTTACAGAGAGATTCTTATAAATTCTTTTGTATCGTCTGAATTAGTTAACGATTATTGACATTGAATAATATTTTGAGTACCTAAATTTAATTTTCCGCGCAGAGACCTGCTAAAACCGTTTAACCCAGAATCGAAACGTCTACACAAACTCGTCATTATATATAATACAACCACTATCGCGGAGATTAAAGAGATATCTCCCCTTGACCATTTTTTGTTTGGCGGTCGAACATTGAGCCGACTATCGGTAACATTTGCAAAATTAGTGCTTTGTTCAAAAAAAAAAATTACACGGAGGCTTATATTCCGTCCAGTCCGCGATGTTAGCGGACGCAGTACAAGCACCGAAATCCGCTGTAGTATCAAAATTTCCTTAAATTATAACCGCGAACTCGTACGAAATTAAATATTTTGACGTGGAGGTAGCTCGTATAATATTATTATGATATTTTTCGTACACACGCCATACTTACGTTTTTCACGTATACGGCCATATATTCGTATTATTATATGCGACGACGAAAATATTACGACCGGACTCGTGTGTAATAATTTGTGCGAAGGGCGCGTAGAGGGTCGAAAGGGTCGAGAACGGATATCAAAAAAAAAAAAAAAAAAAAACGATTTACGTTTAGGTGATTGTCGAGTGGCGCCCGTCGATTTGTTGTATACATGGTGGACGGATGGTACGAAACACTCCCGTCGTCGTTCACATAATAACAGTACGCGGTGATATTACGTATATATATATATACTCAAAGTGTTTATAGGTTATATAAAACAATACCGATAAAACGAAAAAAAAAACACAAGCAAAATAAATCAAAATTTATTGACGAACAAAAAAAAACTCCGACAAATCGTTTTAAAAAGTCTAGAGAAACCCGACAAAAGCGTAGTAGGTAACCGATATATTATTAGGTAGGTATACGTTATTCATTAGTCTGCAGATAAATATATCGTACACGTGCATTTAAGATTTTCACACTCGGTACAAATTAAATTTTCCGCCCCTACAGCGTAGGACCTATTAGTCATACGACCCCCGTTATAGCCACAGCCGTAAGATTCACTTTCAACATATGTATTTTATAGGTTAGGAAATGAATATTTCAAAAGTGTATACATTATACATACGTCGAGGAAAAGAAGTCCTACAATAGTTAATACAAATAAACGTTAATTAAAACAAGAGTTTAGGTTATTGAATTAACGTTTTCCTATCTATCATAATATTATTACCTGAATATTATAAAAAATCACTATCACCCACCAATCGTTAAATGCGAATCTGTGTTAAATCCGATAGAGTTTACCCTCGTATATTTTTTCACGGATGAAAATGATCGAACCGAAAACTGAAGTTCGGTTAACT